GAAAGAGGCAGAGCTGCTTAAAAATGACTGGGGTTGGACACCGGGCTAGAAGTACCGGAAACCAAGGCTGGGCTGGCCACCTAGGAGCCAGAAGGATCACCCTCCCCAAAAACAACTCCAGAATGGACAGAACCCAGAACAACAACTGAACTGAGGAAAAGGTAAATGCACCTCCACTTCACCCAGTCCAGTTGAAAAGCATTGGTTGTGAATGCCTCGTAATTGGGAATGAAACCACAGGAGGGAAGGCGCTGGTTCCACACCGACACAAAGAGGTCACTTTGGGGCGACCGAGTGTCTCAGGTCCAACAGGAGGACATGTTGTTGATGGTCCACTCCTAAAAACGGGACGGAAGTGAGATAAATCATCCATGAAAGCATTGTACCCACCATGCACGTGAACTATGTGAAGAACCAAACCCCCTGTGAAGTAGAAGCTGAACTACTCAAAAGAGTCCAGCTCCACAGGGTGATGGATCGAAGCAACCCCCCCCTCAGTTCAAGCAATAAACTCTAGGTTCCAACTCTATCAATCTGCCTTCATTTGGAGGCAAAACCGCGAGAAAACCATAACTGGTCAATTGGCCAACAGGTGGTGGCCACCATAGACAAAACTTGGGACACTGCATCTTCCAGGAAAAGGAGCGGAGAGATGAGAAAAAGGGATGTGGACAAACTGGAAAGGGACCAAGCCAAATGTAATGAATGGGTCAACACAGCCTGCAGACACGCGAGTAAATGCTTGCGTGTCTATAGGCAGGATAGCAGAGTAAATGCCACCACCGCCTCCTGAAGGAGAGAGGGGCAAACATCTTGGGCATGGCCACTAAAGCAGGGAGCGCAGACTTCAAGGCCTTCACACCCAGGGAATATGCAGCCATTATATGATACCTATATCTTAAGAAGCACATCAACTAACTGTAAAAGTTGCAAAAACATGCAACTAAATAGCTCCTGGAACTGAAATACAAGAGCTATGTGGAGAGGTTAGAGGCATTAAATATGCCAAAACTAGAAGATAGAAGAAAAAGAGACGATATGGTCACTGTGTACAAAATAATAATTGGAATCGACAAAATTGGTAGAAATCCAAAATATTTCTTCTCATATGCGAAATCAAAAGCAAAAACCACGGCCAGTATTGGACCTATTCGTACAAGTGAAGGTTCATACACGGAGGATGACAAAGAAATTAGTGAAATCCTAAAAAAGCAGTACGTATGAGGACATGTTTAGCACTCCAATAAACAACATGAAGGTGGAAGATCCAGACAATTTCTTTATGCGGGATATTCAAACCCCTGTAAATATAACTGATATAAACATGAGCGCACTAAATTTTGAAAAAGAAATTGAAAACATGCCCATGCACTCGGCCCCAGGTCCAGACTCATGGAATTCAATATTTATAAAGAAATGCAAAGTGCCGGTAGCACAGGCACTCAGTATAGTGTGGAGGAAGAGCTTGGACACGGGGGAGATACCAGATGCACTTAAAGTAGCAGACATAGCCCCTCTACACAAGGGAGGGAGCAAAGCATTGGCAAAAAATTATAGACCAGTTGCACTAACATCGCACATCATAAAAGTATTTGAGAGAGTGATTAGGAGTCAGGTCACCAATTTCATGGAGACCAATGACCTTCACAACCCAGGCCAACATGAATTTCGAGCGGGAATATCGTGCCTCTCACAGCTACTTGAGCACTACGACAAAGTCACTGAGGCATTAGAAGAAAAACAGAATGCTGATGTGATATACACGGACTTCGCAAAGGCTTTCGATAAATGTGACCATGGCATGATAGCACACAAAATGAAGTCAATGGGAATAACCGGTAAAGTAGGACGCTGGATACTCAATTTTCTGTCAAACAGGACTCAGTGAGTAACGGTCAACCATATAAAATCTAGTCCAAGTGCAGTGAAAAGCTCTGTACCTCAGGGTACAGTCCTTGCACCGCTGCTTTTCCTTATTCTCATATCAGATATAGACAAAAATACAAGTCACAGCTTCGTATCATCCTTTGCAGATGACACAAAAATCAGTATGAAAATTACCTTGGCTGAGGACATTGAAAAACTTCAAGCTGATATTAATAAAGTTTTCGACTGGGCATCAAAAAATAATGTGATGTTTAACAGTGATAAATTCCAGGTACTCAGGTACGGTAAAAATGAGGACCTTAAACATAATACAGAGTACAAAACACAATCAAATGTACCCATAGTAGGAAAACAGCATGTAAAGGATTTGGGAATAATAATGTCTGACGACCTAACGTTTAAGGAGCATAACCAAGCAAATATTGCGACAGCCAGAAAAATGATAGGATGGATTACGAGAACTTTCAAATCCAGGGATCCCATCACAATGGTTGTACTCTTCAAGTCACTTGTGTTGTCCCGTCTTGAGTACTGCTCAGTACTCACTTCCCCCTTCAGAGCAGGAGAGATTGCTGAAATAGAGGGAATACAGAGAACATATACGGCACGCATAGACGCAATAAAGCACCTAAATTATTGGGATCGTCTCAAAGCCCTCCAAATGTACTCGCTAGAAAGAAGACGAGAGAGATATCAAATAATATACACCTGGAAGATACTGGAGGGCCAAGTACCAAATCTACACAGTAAAATAACAACGTACTGGAGTGAACGATATGGAAGAAAATGTAGAATAGAACCAGTGAAGAGCAGAGGTGCCATAGGCACAATCAGAGAACACTGTATAAACATCAGAGGTCCGCGGTTGTTCAACGTCCTCCCAGCAAGCATAAGAAATATTGCCGGAATAACCGTGGACATTTTCAAGAGGAAACTAGATTTATTCCTCCAAGGAGTGCCGGACCAACCGGGCTGTGGTGGGTATGTGGGCCTGCGGGCCGCTCCAAGCAACAGCCTGGTGGACCAAACTCTCACAAGTCAAGCCTGGCCTCGGGCCGGGCTTGGGGAGTAGAAGAACTCCCAGAACCCCATCAACCAGGTATCAACCAGGTAGGGAAGAATTCCTGAGACCTGGAACCTCAAGAACAAGAGGTCATTGATTTAAGCTAACTTAACGGTTGGAACAAGTTAGTAAAAATTAAGAACTTAAAAAGAACTTAAATGAAATACAGAGTACAAAATACTAGCAGATCTTCTCATCAATGGAAAAATGACATAAAGGATTTGGGAATAATGATGTCAGATGACCTAATATTTAGTGAACATAATGAAGCAAATATAGCATTAACTAGGAAAATTATACAATGGATTATGAGAACCTTCAAATCCAGGGGTGCCACTACAGTACTCTTATTTTTCAAATCACTTGTACTTTCTTGCCTTGAGTACTACTCGCGGTACTTACCTCTTTGAAAAGCAGGGAATATTTCTGAAATAGAGGGAATGCAAAGAACATATGGCATACATGACACAATAAAGCACCTAAACTATTGGAATCATCTTAAAGGTCTCAAAATATACTCTTTAGAAAAGAAACAAAGGTGCTATCACATATATGTACATGGAAGATACTGGAAGGCCAAATTCCAAATTTACACTGTAAAATAACATAATGAAGCGAAAGGTTCTTCAGAGAATGCAGGATGGACTCGGTGAAGAGTAGAGGTGCTGTAGGTACAATGAGAAAACTGTGTGACCATCAGAGGTCTATGGCTTTTGAACATCCTCCCAGCAAAAATAATTATTGCCAGTACAAACGTAGAAATGTTTCAGAGAAAATTAGATGCTTTCCTGCAAGAAGTACTGGACTAACCAGGTTGTAGTGGATATTAGGGTCTGTGGGCCACTTCAAGCAAGAGCCTATTGGACCAAATGATCACAAGTCAGGCATGGCCTCAGGCCAAGCTTGGGAAGTAGAAGAACTGAGAACCCTCTCCAGGTACACTCCAGGTAACTTGGACAAAGAAAGAGATTTAGAGGTGGTTGTGGATAGTTAACTGTGACCAGAGAAGCACATAAAGGGCATTGTGTGAAGTGCATACACTTTGCTTGCAAACTTCAGAATCACTTTTAAGTACATGGATGGAAAAGTTTTCACAACATTTATGAGACTGAAATTGGTGTATTATGTGCAGCAGTTGTGTGAGGTCCATCTTAAAAAGCATATCAAGGAACTTGAAAAGTTGCAAAGACATGCTGCCATATTGCTTCAGTCCTTAAAAACAAATGCTATGAGGGGAGGTTACAAGTATTAAAGACAAAGCCAAGAGAAGAAAGAGGCAATATGATCCTCACACACAAAACCGTACAGGCTAAGAAAAGAAAAGTTACATAAACCATCAGAAACTTCTCTTTTGTAATGAGAGTTGTTGATAGTTGGAACATTTTATTTGAGGAAGTGGTGGCTGTAAAAATCATCAGCAGTTTCAAAATGTCAAATGACAAAGATTATAGGGAAGACAGAACTCTATGAGCATAGTCTCATCTTATAAACTACACTTAAGTAATAACATGTATATGTGCCATTATTTACAAATTTGGTGGCAGTATCTACAGTTGATGATAAATGGGATAACAATTTAAAAATTCAGTTTCATAAATTTTGTTTATACCATAGATTTGATTATCACTGGGCATTTTATTATAAGGGTTTTGTTTAATTTGTGTAAATGATATATTTACATTAACCTAAAGTGTCTGTACCTAAGCATATCAAACATTTTTAACAATCATGAGAGATGTCTGAGGGACAGGTCTTTTATTTTTGTTAAAAAAGGCCATACAGTTTTAATCAGCCACTAGACTGCATGTTATAGGATGCATATGTACAAACTGGGACATTGTTAATTTTCTGGCTGGCTTTTAGTTGAGATTATAGGCTTTTGATTTAATCAAATAAAAGTGTATTTGCACTAGAACCTAATAATTAATACTATGTAATGGTTTTCCTCTTAATCTAGGAAAGTCACATTGCATTGCTGAAGGTTTTTGATATGGGGTATTATTTGCCAAACTAATGTTGTACCCTCTGTTGGGTTAATATGACCTTCCAGGTCGCAGTGAGCGTGAGTGGTCTGCTCCCCCCAGCTGTGACTCAGGTGGGGGGGAAGATAGCCAGGATGGGGATGGGGGTGAGCGGGGCACAGAGAGCCTTCCACACTCCCCGGCTAAGGCCGTTCCAGGCCGTGTGACTAGTGCCCCCACCAGCCCCACAGCAGCAGATGATCCGAGCCTGGCCCGCACTGTATTCCGCTCCTCAAAGTGTAGGATTAACCTGCCTCATTTGTGACTTAATTACATCTTATAGTTGCTCACATTTCTGTAATGGTTGGTTTGGTCATTAATAATGATAGTTGAATAGCATATTTACTGTATACATTATGTGCATTTATGCATGTGTATACTGAACTTGTGTGAGTACAGTGCATGTATAGATTTTGTTGAAGAAATTCTGCTCCCTTACAAACTTTTCAGATCAAAAACTTTGAAACAAAAGTGTGTTTCTACCTTGTAAGAACTATAACTGTAATCAATACGGTAATAATCATATACTGTACCTGCATTTTATTCCAAAAATTTGTTTAAGAGTTAAGTGCAGATGCCATTTTAAGAGTTATTATATAGTTCATATTAAAATTATCATAAACCATCATCAAATTTATTTATAAAAAAAAGCACTGAATTTAATGAAAGGCCTCTTTCTGGAGACCTCTATTAGCTCCCTGTTGCTACATCCTGAATAAGCTCCACCCAATTTGAATCACACCAGGCCCTTGCGAGCCTTAGAAGCCTATTGGATACCATAGGCCTAAACCTGGTCCCTTGCACCTCGCAGAGGTGCAAGTAGCAGAGGCTCAAAGATCACTCAAATATAAAGAAAAAACCCAGCAAAATGGTAGAGTAAACCAAAATAGACAGCAGCAAGGTAAAATAAAAATGGAAAAAAAGTGGTAGAAAATAAACCAAAAATGAAAAAGAATAAGGTAAAATCTAATTCAGAAAATGGATGAGCCAGCAGGCCACTCGTTTTATTTTTAATCTGGGCTAACTGCAACCAGGTGACTGCTGCCAGCCGAGACCCTCACCAGGCTGTATGGCATGACCAATCTTATCTGATGGACGTCCACTCACCCTGACACACCTTAAAGGGAGAGAGATGTTCCAGGGAGCCACCAATGGACCCACCAGAAAGAGGCATTTCATTACATTCAATGTTTATTGAGAGGGCTCCATCAGTGGCTCTGTTTATCATCTTGCCACAGAGAACATAAACATAAGGGGAACTCGCCAGGTGTGAAGGAGAGCAGAAGTCCTTAACCCATACCTTGAGGTTACCTTGAGGTGCTTCCGGGGCTTAGCGTCCCCGCGGCCCGGTCATCAACCAGGCCTCCTGGTTGCTGGACTGATCAACCAGGCTGTTGGACGCGGCTGCTTCCCCATAATGAAGGGGAAGTCAGGGACAAGAAACCCAACCCAAGATCACACGGGCCCAGTGTGTTCCTGACACATTAACCAAGTATCAAGCCACCAAAACCCAGTTTGAGTACCAGAACCCCTGAACTTGAATATCAGCCCAAGACATACTGGTAAAAACAGCGGACAAAGCCAAAAGCTTCCACACATTGGCCCAAGAGTAGACTGCATGCTTGCAAAACTCGTTGACACTGTTTATGTTTGAGACCATGAGGCCCTAGAAGAAAGTAACCAGGACAGGATCTGCAAATAATGCATCACCTGGAGAATCAAAGGTGGCACACAAGTAACAACAGACAGATGCTTCAGGACATAACCTGTAATGTATCTCCGACCGAACCAATCAAGCATAAATTCACAATGGATCTCTCCAGAAACCAGCATTCTCATTCTTACCCAAAAAAAGGGAAGACTGCAAATGAATAAAATGCCTACAAGGGCCAAAGGAACAGACCTCCCCCTCCCTCCCTTACTGTCTTAGAAGAGCGTGAAGCTTCCCTACATAATGATCATAAGCAAGGGCCCATAGAAACTTGTTTCTGTAAAAACATTACAAACCAAAGCGTGATCAAGAATCAAGGAGAGGAAATAAAAACAAAAAACTTATCCAGAGACCAAGACCATTCATATTGTGATTGACCAGTGTTAGAAACTCCAGATGCAAAGATCAGCAGAGAACCTCAAACCATCGAGGAACTTTTCCAAACCGATCCTTTAAAATACACGAGTTTAGACACTGGGCCACGAGATACAGAAACCTAGGATGGGGCTGCCACCAGGAAGCCAGAAGAACCACTTAAGTGAGAAACTCCTCTTGTCTGGCAAGTACACAGAGCAATAACTGAACCGGAAGGAAGAGATATAGTAACTAGACAACTTTACAGTCAGTAGGGGAGATGGGTAAACCTCTTGAACCTGTTGATGAATCCAAGGATCAACGTTCCGCAGCCCCATCTCAGACCAGGCTTTTTGGTTGCTGGTCTGTTGTTTTCAACAAGAACAATATTAGAGGAGAGTGAGCATCATCACACTGAAGAGTCACACTGCCAGTGTGACTCTTATTGTTGAGGGTGAATCAACAAGTCCAGTCCAGTCGAAAGGCAGCCATTGCAAGACCCTCACAATTAGGGAATGGAGCCATATAGATCCATATGGGGTTCACCAGAATGTCTCATGTAGCCCATAGAAGGATGCAGTGTCAACAGTCTACTCCACGGCAGTGGGGTGGAAGCGAGAAAGACCATCCTTGAGAATGTTGGATATGCTCTGCATGTGGATCGTATTGATACCCAAACCCTGAAGAGGAGAGCCACCCAAAGAGTCCAACTTCACAGAGAGAAAGACACAAGTGACCCACCCTTGCCTCCTGACAATCTTCCAGATGCACAGATCATGAACACCTGAAAGACCAAACCAACCTCATGTCAGTTGAACATTTGGGAATGGTAAACCCATACCAGAACCCAGTGAGAAAACAAAGGATTGTCTGCAAGCGAGGATAAATCAGGAACCCCATATTGCAACTAAAATTTAGAGGCAGACCCAGACTCAAATGAAGCTGGGTACATTAAGGTTGTAAAACCCTGATCCAGGAGAAGGAACCTAAACATCTGTCCAACCTGAAAATGTTAAAAGACAGGAAGCTGGAAACCTCTGCCAATAGAGCTAATCTGAAGATTTATACTGAAATCAGAAACACGTACGGAAAAGAACAACCTAGGAATTAACATCAAATGTTAACAGAGGGTACATAAAACCCCTCCGCTCTGAGAGACAGAGCCTCAGCAGAGGAAACTAAAACCAAATCTGGATTAAAGGGCATCCACATAACCTCCTTGGCTTTTCTCCTACCCCAGAAGTCCCAGGAAGTGAAGATATCAGGGCAGACACTGCTTCATGCTAGACAGTTTGGCCAGAATAGGGTCTTTTAACAGGGAAGGACCTTTGTCCAGAATTTTCCCCTTCGAGAAACTGAAGGCAACAGATCCTTTGGTGGGAAGTGCCAGCTCAATTGTCTTCACTGCAGAAATGGATAGGGCAACCCCTCGGAGATGTCTCAGCGACCCCCCAACTGAAGTACCAGCCCCTGAACCCAAAACCTTCAGATACTTCGGCACCCAAAGTAATGGGAGTAATTACTTTGGGTACCGAAGCATCCAACAGTAATTGTAAAGGACCAATGAACTAAATTAGAAGAGCCAAGAGAAAGAGACAGAGGGGCAAACTTGGAACAAGTAGACATCACCAACAGCTCCAAAACTGAATTGGAAAACATGGGCTGGCAAGTGACCATTAATACCATATGAATTCGGTTATCCGAAGCCCACTGAATTGGATATTTGGGCTGTTCGGCCAAAATTGCTTCTGGATAATTTTCTGGCAAAACTTCACCATGTCGGGACAGAAATCTAGATAACCAGAAATTAAGTTACTTAAATTTTCAAAACTACACATTTCAAGATATACAGTATCAAACAACATGACAAACTATACCTAGGCAAGCAGAAGCTTCTGTTTTAAATTATATATTAGATTGATAATGTGTGTGAAAATTTTAATTATGTTGATTGTGGAAAAATTGTGAATATGTTCATTTTTGGACTTGCCCTGGTAAGAATTCCTGCATATCCAGATGTCTGGCTTATCAGGTGAAGGGTCCTCCCCATATACTCCACATAACTGAGCATGGTCAGTAATGCATGTGGGAAAACTGTTCATGCAAGGTGGCCACTGCCTGATGAGTCTCAGAATGAAACTGTGGCTTAGCCAAAACAGAGACTCAGCGATGACATATGTCATAGGCCTTGGGTTGAAAGGAATCACCATCCCAGGAGGAGGAAGGTCAAAGGCAATGGAAATGACCATTAGCATATAAGAAGACCGACGAACATTGCCAAACTTGCACCCAGTGAAAGTGTCTGGCAGGCTGGTCCAGTGACCCTCTGGATATAAATAGGAACTGCCTCGTATAGGCCAATAGGTCTTCTGCAGTTACCTTCATTCTTATGTTCTTATGTAAATACTGGTCCACACCAGAGACCACAAAGTGATTACCAGAATCTGAAGGCAAAAACCAAGTGGGGGGACCCAAGCATAAGAATCGTTCACTGAGAAGAACTGACACCAAGCAGCTTACCAACATGCAACTGCAAGAAAATGAAAGAACTTGTGCAAACCCCTACTGAGAAGAAACCCCAGAACATACCCACTCTCAGAACCTCGCAGAGGATTTAACGATCTTTGTACTACTCTGGGCAAGGCATTTCCTGGAGAAGAAAGTACTTGCAGTTGATTTAGTAAAGCTGATTTTGTATAAAGTTCGATTATATCACAAATCAAGATAAGCAGGAGTCTATACTGTATATACAGTACAGATAACCAACATATAATCTACATAATTTTGCCACTGTATAAACACCAGTAACCAGATAAATGTTTTCTAGATATTCCAAGACCTAAAGAATCAGGGTGTGGATAATTGGAAGTGTTCTATATTTTCTTAATAGCAAACAAAATTGCAAATAAAATAAGTACTGTACTTAAAAATTAAATACCGGCTTAGTATTGAAGACTTGCATAATCAAAACTTAAGTGAAATTTAACATATTCACAAATTCCTTACTAATGATCTCATTTACATTATGTGGCTGTTATGCGGTGGAGTATGCGGCAGGCAATGCCTTGGTCGTAGGTTCACTCCACCTCATAGCCCTAGTGGATTTTCTCAATAATCTCATTATTAAGATGCCATTATATAATATATATTCACAAATTCCCAGCCTGGTGGTAG